GCATATATATTAGCAACTCTTCCCATTTGTAAACTAATGAGAGAACATTACAGAGTCCTGCAGAGGTACCATTTTCAGGGCACGGCCCGGCTTTTTTTTCAAACATTTTTTTCTGCCGGGCCCGAATTTTTTAAAATAAATTATATTTATTTTTTACCTTTATAGCTAATAATGGCGATTTCAAATATTTGGTTTTAAAATATACAACCCGACCCGGATATTCTTTAAAAAAAATTTGCAGGTCCAGCCCGTGTTTTTTAAAAAAAATATTTTAGGCCCGGGTCGAGTATATTTAAAAAAATTAAAATACGGTCAGGCCCGGGGGTCGGGTCTGCAAGTCTCTGAAAAACAAACCTAAGTACAACTTCTGAAAGTAGATTGAATGGTTTGAATATTCATAGGCATTTAACGCCGCAAGGATGAGATAATTGAAAAATTAGCACAATCCCAACGAAGATTGGATTTTACATTGTAAATATATAACATACAAAATACAATTATTCCTAAGAAACTTTTTGTGTATTAATTTATATTTCCAAAATTTAAATTTTTTATACTTTATATATAAATTTTAAAGGCTCAAAAAATTCAAATTTCTATTTTGGGTCATTTAAGTGATTCATATGGTGGTTAATTCACTTTATATTTTATAATTCACATTTTCTTTATAGTTTTTCAATGCCGCCAGTTATATCCGTTTAATATTTTTTAATTCACATTTATTTTAGTTTTTTATATGCCGGTTCTATATATAAAAATTTTTAAAATACACATTAATTTAAAATTGTGTATTAGAAATAGTTATTAGTCCTAATAAATTTATGCTTATATTTCTTAAAAAATTTTATTATCCCCCCCCCCTCCCCCCATACCAAATTCCTGCGTACGCGCCTGGCCATGTTAGGAGGAGGATTTTGGAATACAAATGGCATGTGTAGCTATGCCTTCTCCTTTAACACCAAATCCTAATTGATAAGTATACTTAAGTGGCGTATCCAGGATTTTCTTTTTTTTGGGGGGGGGGGGGGATTTTTTTTGAGGGCTTTGACCCAAACAGCTCTTACCTGGCCTTCGGCCAGCTTTTTTCCGGCCTTCGACTGGGTCTTATATTTTAGCTATTCTATTAAATTATTCATAATTTAATAAAAATTTTATTTCTATTTTTAACTATTATTTACTAATTCGTGCTTATGGATATTACAAGCCTATTTATTATTTTAAGTTAGGTATATTATATTTAATAAAGTTTTTTTAAATGTAAAGTTGAAATAAAGTTTAATGTCATTTTTTCTATAAAATTTGCTTTAAAAACTAGCCTCAGCTTAAATTCTCATACAATATAAGTAGAATATAATTTTTTTATTGAAAATACTAATAGTAGTGTGTATAAAATATTGACTAGAAAATAATTAAAAAAACAAGTTTTTTTTAACTTCTTATCAAATACAATATTATACAAAAATTTTAAGTAAATACTATAATTATAATGTGATTTTTAATTTTCGTGGGAATATTGCCAATTCATCAAGAATTTCGTTTGTCGTTGGAACAAAACCTCTGTGGATATTTAACAGAGCTAACCCATTTAGTCGAGATTCGGAAGTAGTACTTCTTAATTATCTTTCAACCTTCTCAAGTTGGAAAAAGTCCTTTCATTCGTACATGTTGTAATAGACAAACATGCAAGAATATAAAACAATTTCAAATTATTAGGAAATTGAGCCAAGGTTTCTTTACACCGATTGAGTGCATCAATAGCATGCTCAGGTAAAATAGCTAAACATAGTAAATATTTATACTATAATTCAAATTCACTGATTAAATTTATTTCAGTCAATATCATAGGAATAAAATTTTGCTAAATATTAAATCTTACCAATAGTGGCATTAGAAAACGAAGAAGGATCTTTGGGTAATAAAACTTGAAGATTGTTAAAGACTTGTTTTTTATCTAAAAACTGTATTTTTATTTGCGATAAAAAAGTATCTAAGAATGGGATGAAAATGGATATTTTATAATATTCTTCAATTGAGCCAATATTTATTTTACATCTCAATAATTGCCTATGTGCTAGACGAGGTTTAATTAGTGTTATATTATAAAATTTAGCTTTCGATTCAACGTCTATATAAATATTATGAAAATATTCATCTACATTCATTCTTATTTATATTTTCCGCCAAATCAATAACCTGAACCAAATCTAAATTTGGTGTTTATAAATTTCTACAAAGTGAACTATAGGAAAATACTTTATTGATGCAACTAGCAGCATGATAAACTCTGATTGATCAATTGAATTCAATAATGATAAAGCTTCTGACAACACATTACTTTTTTTCATGTTCAGCCTTATTTAACTTTTGTATTTCTATTTCTATTTCTTCTATTCTACAAAATGGAAATAAAATGAAAAATTATAGATATTTATTAATAATTAAAATATTATTAAAAATACTTATTAATTCTAACATATTTTTTGAATTTTATAAAATTATTATATATAATAATAAAATAAATTACCGTTTGATTTCAATCTCTTTGACTAAAAATTTTTACATTTTATTAATATTTTTGAATAATGTTAATGTACTCACAAGGAAAGGAAATTTTAATAAAATTTATTTATAAAAAATAAGTTTTCAGTCAAATTTGCGATGTACGTGCCTGTAATAAGTTAAGACTCTGGGTTTTGACCCATGGCAATTATTTTTGCTAATAATCTTCTAAATAGCCCATTGCAATGGGGTGGACACCACCAGTGGTTGTGAGATAATCAGGTTTGCCCCCATGATTGAATCGAATCTATTTTATGGCAGGTCTTTTAAGAGTATTTAGAAAGGTTTTAAAAGTGATTCGAAGTGAGAGAGCAAAAACCATTGCGTCTGAATGTGGAAAATTTCTTAAAAGAATTGATAAATATCATAACTCACAAATCATATTTTTTTCCCCCATATTTTTCATAATATATTTGGCATTTTTTTCTAAAGATTTTTAGAAATCTTGGAAGGATGCATACAGCTAATCTATTCCTCTCGTTTGACTATTATTCTAATTCATCCATCGTCAAATGAAGGTAAAATTTATTATTTATTCATACGGAGAAAATTCTGATTACCCGTCATTCTTGACGGGCTTTCAGCTAGTAATATAATAATAATACTATTAAAGTATAAAGGGAGTACAATATAGTAGGGTATACTAATGAATAATTTGTACATATTAACTTAAAAGAATAATTATTTTATTTAATTTACCATATTCATTTATATTAAAGTATTTAGTTCTAAAATTGTAGATAAACCTATTTAATTAATATATAATAAAAAATAAGTATTTTGGGGGTTTAAGCCGGACATGTTCTTCGTTTTAATACTAATTTTCAAGGATGGACTGGGACAGAACGGAACTAACGTTTAGACGGACTTTTCACATTATATAGACGTGATGCCGTGAATTTGGGATTTCAAATCGTGACTGGGGGTGATGAATATATCTCAAAAGTTCCCGAGCATGAATAAAAATTTTGCGTGCTACGGAAAATTTAAAATTGTTTTTAGAAATTTAACCTTCTAATTTAATAATTGAAATGTATCTTTTAAAATTAATATTTTGTAAAAGGTTAATTTTGTTAAACGGCCAGATTAAGATTTTAGCCTAGATAATATTATGTAAGCCTTAAGATTTTTCTCATTGATGACAGAAAGGTGGCCTCTATTTGCCAAATCTCGAGACCTCTACATAATATTATTAGTCATTTTTAAAATCGACCCAATACGGGCATATTTCAAAGAAATTACTGATATTTAACAAAAAATATGAGTAAATAATAAGAACTTTTCAGAATTTCAAATAATGATTTGAGCTTGTTTTTATTTTAAAAAAAACTTATTTATTAATTTTCATTAAATTTTCAAAAATTGTCAATTTTAAATACTCTTTTCACAGAAAATAAGAGTAAAATTTTATCAGCTCCAATTATCGTTGAGTAATTACTATATTTTTAGCTATTTAAACTAATTTTTAGCCGGCCTAAAACTATTTTGGCCTCTGGGTTTTCCTTAAAATAGAGCAGCTCAAATTTGAAAGATATTTTAGTATAAATTAGACGCCTAAATGTTAACGGATTTTCTCCGGCACGCGTCTGTAGTTTAACCGAATTAGCCAATTTAATGATTACCCAACCAGTTCGATTTCCAGTAAACTATATTATAGGCAATCATCGCTTACTAGGAGGAAAGATAAACGCAACTAAAATAAAAAAATATTGGCATTCTTCATTTTTTAGATAAAAGTTTTTATTTATAAATATGATGTGAATTTATAAATAGTCCGTATTTTTTTAAGAGTGACGGGCGTGATCAAAATTTTGTCTTTCGTACGTGGGCGAGTCGAGCTAAAAAAAATGAGCTTCGAGTGTGATTAGGCGTGGAATTTTTTGTCAGCTAAAAAAAATTAGGCCATATGAAAAAATATAAAACAATTATTAAAAACAAATCAATGTTATTTAGTCAAAGTGCAGGCCACAAAATAGCGTAAACAAACAGCTTATATGAAGGTACATCTAACATTTCATTTTAAGAAAATCGTCACCTTAAACTATGCCGGTGCTGCCTATAGGTCAAACATGCAAGTCTCTAGGTAAGGAAAATTTTAATATTGTCAGAATCCGAACATATGAACAAGCAACACTGTGTAAATTTCATACATTTATTTCTAAAAGTATATTTTATTAAAAATAAACCATGCATTTTACAATATTTTTAAATAACAAAAATGTCTAAAGAGTTCAAGGTTTGCATAATGAAGCATATTCAACATTGTCATAATTATAATTAATTTAAAAGAATTGATAACAAGATTGTTTCAATACAACATAGTTTTATATATTTTTATATCATAAAAAATCTTTAAAAATTTTAATAACAATAAAATGAACAATCTTTAAAAAAAATCAATAAATTTGGAATATTGAGTTTTTTGTTTGACTAAGAATCTTATAAAATCTCAATATAAGACGTCAGGGTAGAGAATAAAAATAAACAAAAAAAATTATTGATGGCTATTTAATATATAAGGAATAGCTATATTTTTTTTAAATGTAAAAATTGAATGTCTAAAAAAACAATTATAATAAAATCATATAATAAAAATAAAAAAACATCATTTTAAATATGCGGGCATTTTTTGATATATCCCACCATGGTATGGAATCGAAGTAATCGGCTTGTTACACCCCATAAGTATATGTCTAGGTATCTTATATATATAAATATATAATATACAACAAATGCTAAATAAGAAGTAATAATTTAATATTAAATTCTCATAGATCATGCATAAGGCCATTCATTGGGTAGGTTTTTTATAGAACAATATTTTTCGTTTCTGTGTTAATTACATTTTTTAGTTATCGGTATAGGAAAATCGATACTTTTTTATCTTAAAATTTTTTAAACCTCTTTGTAATTTACATTATAAAATGTTTAATTTTATAAATATTTCGAACTTAAATGAGGTTGGATCCAAACCCAGAGAATAAAGCAAAGAAAGAGGAACTGTTATAAATTAGTTAAATTACAAATCTCATAATAAAATTGTAACTACTGAGAATTACATTATGGTGAAAATTTGAGCAATTAATTTTTCACATATAGATTAGAGATTTTTTTTTACCATCTTCCTATTAAAAGGCTACTAAGCCATCCAGGACACAGGCAAATTTCTAAATAGCAACAATCAATTTATAAATTTTCATATAAGTCAAAAATAAATATCATTCGAATTGAATTAAATATATAAATAATTTATTCTGGAATAGTTGTAGATAATTTGTTCCAGGGTCGTGCTTAGATTTATGGCGGCCCAATAAAACTCCGTTTGCCTAAACTTATAGTTATATCGAAAATTTTCAGACATTTTGTTAAATAAAAATATTTAGAAAGCATATATAAAGGTCATTTATTAAATTATGATATAAATAGATATGAATAACAAGCATGTGCAAACGGTTGAGTGGGGGCGGGGCAGCTGCCGTTGGTCGCCAAATTTTGTTTCTTGTGGAGACCAAATTATAGTCGAAATCAATTATTTTTAGCTTCTAACCATAAATTTACTTCCAAGGTTATCTTGTGATTCATGAGAAAAAAATTCAAAATTTATTTTTAACGAAATTAACCTTACCTACTGAAATAATTTGCCTTTAAGATAAAAAAAATTTGTCTACACCATAGATTCTTCATTTGATACATATACTTTTTGTGGGTATACTTTAGATTACCCACATCTAAATTGAGTTTGTATTTTAATTAAGATTTAGATTCGAATATTATAATATATATTTAATACTAGTTACAGACCCTTAAAAAATGACAAAATTAATAAAAAAAATTACTGTTTTAGTAAATTAAATTATCCGAATGTGCTATATATTTAATTTCATAGGCTATAAGAAGTTTTCAAAATGGGAAGAAGAAACTAATTTAATTCTGAGGCTGAGCGGAAAAGAAAGAAGCGAGAAGCTAATTCCGTGTGCCAAAACTTTCAAATAAGCAATTAGTTTTCAAAAACAATTTTCAAATGAAGACTATGACTGGAAACATTTTTCAGATCATATAAAGGATGAGTCCTCAACACGTTGATAGTCTGCACCAATGGGTTGAGTTAAAAAAATCTAATTGATAAAAATAGTAGTGATTAACTACCTAACACGGGGATTATATACGAGAATTATCAATCGGGATTATATGGTTTTGGAGATGGAGGAAAGTTAGAGAATAATTGCTGGGGATTATGGAATGGGATGAGGATGTTTATGATTGTAAGAGTATGATGTTGTTATCGGATTATATTTGATCAATATTATTTGTATAAAAGGTCTATTTGATTGCAATAAAGAATTACATGAATCCAAGTTATAAATCATTAGTTTAGACAAAAATATTTATTCGAGGAAGTATAAAACTCAACCATCAAAAATTGTAAATATATTAATTTATAATCGAAATTTGATATCATTTTATTTAACCACATTCCTCTAATTACAAATAGTTATATTCATAATTATTACCTTGGAAATCGATTTCAAAATGAAATTACTAACATAATAGAAGATACTATTGTGGATTTTGTTGATGCTATTAAAAAGGTAATATATTTTTTCGTAATAAATAATATCGTAGTTATACGATACTTGGATGGAACTTAGCAACAGCTCTGTTGAAATAAATAATCGATTTGCTGGTCGATTACAGTCTGGCCAAGTCTGGGTAAGAGCATTTTTGACTTTAAAAATTTATTTGTCTGCAATTTATGGGATTATATATGCTAGGTCAGTTAAAGGTAAAATGTTACATATTTTTAAAAATAAATTGTTATTATCTTGCGTGGAATTCATATTTTATTTTTGTTAATGAAACATAAAATTTTTTTACCTACCTTTATTATAAAAGTATCAATCTACCTTTATTATAAAAGTATCAATCTACCTTTATTATAAAAGTATCAATTTTGTTAATTGTGTATCATATTTTTCCTAAAAATGTATTTGGATTACTATTGACACATCTTTTTAGAATTTGTATTGGTCTGGGATATGATATATTTTAAAAGCATTTAACAACTCTTCTATTTATCCCCTCAAAAAATATATATTCTGGCTAGGGGACCCTAACAATTTCGCAACAAATATTCAAGGAGTAGAAATAGTATGTAAACCTGAGCCCCGATCCGACTCAAATAACGATTCCTAATGTAAAACGAGGACCTAGGAAAGAGGTGATAACCCCCTTGAACGCCACTTCCTTGAGAATGGCAACCCATGTTATCTGGATTCGAATCAAGAGGAAGCTGATTGTCTTCGCTCAGTAAAGAATCCGGATTGTCGTCACCTTTTCGTTGTGGGTTAAGGCGATTTGATGAGAGCAGGGTGGATGCCGATGAAGTGGGGTGTAATGTCAATTTGAGTTCCCTTTCGGCAGGGCTGACATCCAGAACTCCCCTTCTAAATTTATCGTTCATTTGGAGAACAGCGTTGGCTAGGAGACCGACTGATTTCCATGGTTTAATGGGTAATGGCATATATTTTATGATTTTATTGAATTTGCATATGGAGAAAATCTAAGTTTGGCAGATTATTATATGAGCCGATAAAAACAGCTAATATAGTTAGTCGTAACCTACTTAAAAGGTTTATCATTATTATTATAGAAATTATCTTAGTCAAGCTTTAAAAGCCAATAGGGATTAGTGAGCATATATAAATGATGCATATTTTGTTTAATTAATTTTTTTAAATATAATTTTTCAGTAACTTAGTCGATTTACAAAGGTTTCACCTAGATACATAGCATTGATATTTTATAATGACTACGACTAATTTAGGCACTTGGATGGCTAGGGAAACGCTTAATGATTCGAATTCAATTAATTAATAATAATATAAAATTTGATTAAGAGCATAATATTCAAAATTTTATTGAATAATAAATAGATAATTAGGTATTTTAAATTGAGAAATTAAAATAGAATTCTTAGTAATATGGTATTTACTAAATAATAAGGATAAGAAGAATATTTCCAAAAACAAGTATCCTTTAAAATCTACCAGAGCTCCTGCTACTTGGGAAAAGAGTGCTAATCCCCCATTCATAAAAGCTTGCATTCTTTTGATATTTATTATAAATTTTAAAAAATCTTTGTGGAGTCATTTGCCTAAAAATACTATAAGGTATTTTTATAGTCATAAAAAAGTTTTGATCAAAAAAAACTCACAATCCATAAGCTGTGCCAAGTTGATAAGCTGGAACTTCGTAACTGACCAGCGGCCAAAGAGCGGAAGCGAGTATGGAATAAGAAATCCCCAGCAAAACCATGCAAAAATAAGGGTTGGCCAATAGGGTGAACGCCATGAGAGAATGTGCTACAATGGCGAAAAGGAAGGAAATTGTAATCCAAGTAAGGTTTCGGCCTACTTTGTCCACCACGAATCCAAGGATGGGAGATATGAAGGCAGAAATAATGTAGACTATACTAATTATAAGGAATTTTTAAAAATATAATCATTTGGGAATTTCGTAAAATTTTATGCTGGTATTTCATCGGTGAATACCTGGAATAGAATTTAAAACAATTTGAGAAGATAGTTTAGTTGAAAGGGGAAGGTGATAATGGCTCCATACAAAAATGACAGTGCAATTTATTCAATAAGTGTTTTTTTATAGAAAATGGTGTAAATGCAAAATCGGGAGATAATTTGTCGGGCTAAGATAATATGGAAAAGGTTGATTTTCAGGCCCAGCCCGGATTTCATTTTTCTTTCATAGCCTATCCAAATTTTTTTAAAAATTGTTTTTTTTCTGGTCTGGTTTCTTATTTTTAGCCTGGCTACAAAAATTTTTAATTACATTTTTACTTTAATTTATAAATTGTCCCAAAGGAAATTGAAAATATGTGAAGTGATTTCAACTAATCAATTAGAATCATTTTCATTTAAACTGGTTTGAGTTATTTTAAGCGTGGCTCATATTTTTTTAAATTATACATTTTATAGGCTGCTCCGAACCCAGCGTCTACATGAACGGGGGGGGGGGAGGGTAGGAGCAGTTTACATCCTATTTTTTGAGGGGAGTAGGGGGTAGGCGGCTTTAATGGGTGGGTTATCTATTAAATTTTGAGATCAAATAGGACAAAATTTATTGCTGTAAAAATTAATACTTTTATTTTAAACCTATTATAATAATTCATCAACCAAATATATATATTGCAAACAATCATAGACATTATTTTCCAAATAAAAATTTATGCTATCCTTACAAATGTAATTTATAAGGTTTAGACATTTTCAGCAATCATATAATGCTATAATAATAAATTCATTATAAATGATGGCGGTTTTAATTGAATTTATTATCTAAAAAATAACTCCTTTATATTCACAAAATGTCGAAAGTTGGTAGTAGAGATAAAATAATTTAAATTATTCTTTTTAAATTTTCTGATAGATTATTATTATAATTAAAAAGGGAAATTAAAAATAAGGAAACATTGCCGCCGAAGGTAAAGATTTTTTAAGGGGGGGGGGGGTAGGCATAGGTTTTTGAAAGGGGGTTGCATCCAGTGAAAATCCTGTCATGTAGACGCTGTTCGGACCGAATTTTTAGGGCTGAGGGTCTCTTAACTAATTCTGAATGCCAAATATTTAATAGGATAAAAATTTCGATTAAATTTCTTTATAATTTTATAAATGGGTCATAAGCAAATAACCTGTTGACTACACTGGCTCTGGCCAAAGATAATCCGAATTTGTTTTGAAAGAAGGGGCTATATAAAAATAAATTATATAATTATAATACTACAAATTAAATTTGTTCGTCCAATTATTAATTATTTTTTTAAAATTAAATATATGAATTAAGATAAAATTTGAATAAATAAGCATTTTAAACGGTAATTAAGATGCCATGAGGTAATAAAAAAAATTACATTCCGAGCCCTATAAATGTGAAGAGAGCAACGTAGTATGTGACGCAAACAATGTTTATGAGCCATACGTTTAGCGGAAAGTCTTTTATATCTTTGATCGATACCTTTTCTGCTTTGTCTTCTTAGAAACAATACGTTTTGCAAAACATTGTAAATAGAAATATATTTTTTGAAATTTTATTTCAGAGATCTATGATTAAAGACTCCAGTCTGAATTTGAAAATGAGTAGAAATAAATTAGATTATAGCTGGACCGGGCCTAAAAATCTATCTTTGCAAATCTTATATCATTAATTAGTGCAATGAACATACAATTATTATTTAAATCATGATTAAGGTTTATGTTTACATCTTTTTGGATTATTTAATACAATCTACAATAGGCATTAAAGGTCATTTTTCTCCAACAAATCATCAAATACTTTTTGTGACAACCACTTCTTTTTAAAATATAAATTATTATATCCGGAAAAAAATCTCGATTACTTAAACATTTTATAATTCAAGTTTTTAATGTAAAACCAGTTGATAGAATGTTAAGGAAAATATAGTTCACCTTAGATCACACCCCCTTTTACCATTAATAATGTAAAGCATTGTTATTAGTTAATTTATTGTTATACTAAATATTTGGGGTCTTTGCTTAACGCGAGAAATATGATCATCAATTTCATTCAAAACGAATAGTCATAAAAAAGGCTCAAGACTTACCTTAGATAGATTACTTCATGAAAGGTTTTGAAATATTGATAATTAGTGTACTTCAAATCAATATAAATAATAATAAACTAATTAAATTTGTATAGTCGTTTATTAGCTTTTATTTTATCACTCATTCATTTAAACTTACAAGATTTTTATTTACCATGTCATAATCATGGATCGGCACAGCTTTATTAATTGAATTTAAATGATTCGCAATTATATATATTATATAATATTTGATCAACAAAATGCTCATGCACATATTATTACTACTGTTATCAAATACTATGTAAAACGTTCGAAAGAAATCAGAAAAAAATACACTCTAGATGAATATAAAAGAATAATCATTTTTATGTTAGTGATGGTGATTCTCTAGCTAAAGATACTTATTCAAATGTTTAAACCCTAAGTAAATTGAAGGTTAAACCTTTGTTCGTAACGATATTGTCCTGGTTTTCGTTAGTAACATCTTTGTTTCTCTCCATTGTTGCTTCGTTGTTTGCATGGGTGACAAGTTTAGAGGAGTTTCTTAGTTTTTCCGCCCTCCGGTCCATGTAAATCAAAAGTAAAGCGCTCACGAAGGACAATAAGCAGGTCAAGGTAACTAATTATGAATAATTTTTCGATTCAAATTTTACATAATTGAAAGAATTAAAAAAAAAATTGTTATTCGCTGATATTACGTTAATGATTGAAAATGGCATAAAATTATGATGTATATTTTTAGTATAGTATACCTAACATAAAAGTGGCACCTAGGCAAATAGTTTTCTTTAAATATTTCTGAAATTCGAAGTAAATTGGTACCAACGCATTAAAACTGACAGTGCTCCCCTAAATATGTTTTTGTGATAAATTTTAAAAAAGTAATTTAATTATTTTAAAAATATATTTTATATAAAAGTAATTGAAAATTGATTCATATAATTAATTAATATTATATGATTTTATAAGATTTACGTATCAATCATTTTAAAAAATTAAATTATGTGGCATAAAACTATATACAGTTAACCTTCCCTTCATTATTGTTATAGAAAATACATACATATATCATATGCATCTTATTTTTCTTTAAAATTAGCTTTTTATTTTTGAATGGGATCAATATTATAAATATCTTTTTTATAAAAATGAGAAATTATACAAATTTTTTTTGTATAAATGAGAAATTACACAATAGTGGTAAATTAGAGCGCATAAATTTATTTAAATACCTAATAAATATAGTTAACTTTTCATATTGAGTGTATTATGGCCTATTCAAAAACGAATATGGATCGAACTAAATCATTGGTATGTTTAAACAAATCAAATAATTTATTATTCGTATGTGACTATTCTTACTGAATTGATATAATAACAAATAGAAAATTATTTGATACTTTATAAGTTTAAATAGTGTTGTTAAACAGCTCGATTTGAGCCGATTTTTAAAAACGGCTAACTCAATATTTCATCCCGAAAAATATTACGCAAGGCTGAAGATTTTGTTCATCGAAGGAACAAATATCTAGATATATATTATAGAAATCTCGAGGCTTAGGCAATATTTTTCTGACTAAAATATTAATTTAACACTAAGTTTAAACATTTTAGAATAAGCCAATCATAGTGTTGTCGAAAAAATGAGCCAAACCCAACCCTACCAAAATGGTCGCTCTGATCGACCAAATTTTTTACCCAAGCACAAACCAAAAACTAACTTAATATACTATTTCATTGCTTATTTTTTGCTCATTCATATTTATATGTGATGATTTTTTTTAACCTTTTCATTCACGCTAGGCCAAAAAAAATCACTAATTTTGCAAAATATTACAAAATTTAAGCTCCGTGAAGTTGGCCGAACGATTGGAAGCACTAACGATGAATCATGTCATTTTTTAGTGCTTGTTAGTGCTTCAATCCGTATAGTAGCCGAATTTAAGGAAAAAATGTTATAGGCAAAAATAAAAATTTGTGCCAACTTCACGCTTAAAAGTCGATTGGAAGCACTAACGATGAAACTTATATCATTCTTTAGTGCTTCGTTAGTAGAGGTTAGTGCTTCAATCCATTTTATAGCCGAATTTATGAATAAAAAGTTATTCACGAAAAAAACAAAAATAAACAAATATTGGCGACGTGCCAAAACAAAAACTAGAGTAGTACTCATCCGGTTTTCGCCATTATTTAGTGCTTAATTAATGTATTTAAATTTCATTATTAATTTAGTTAACCGCCATATGGAAAAAAAGTTATTAGCTAAATAAAAATTATGACGTCACGATTTAAGCGTGAAGTTGGCCGAACTTTTGGAAGCACTAACGATGAAACTTATATCATTCTTTAGTGCTTCGTTAGTAGAGGTTAGTGCTTCAATCAGTTCCTTAGCCGAATTTAAGAATAAAAAGTTATTCACGAAAAAAAAAATATAAACAAATAATGGCGACGTGCCAAAACAAAAACTATAGGAGTACTAAACATCCGGTTTTCGCCATTATTTAGTGCTTAATTAGTGTATTTAAATTCCATTATTAATTTTGTTAACCGTCATATGAAAAAATTATAAAATTCTAAAGAAATTTTTAGAGGTCAAATTTCGGCTAGAAAATTATGAAAGCACTAACGATGAAACTTATATCATTTTTTAATGCTTCGTTAGTAGTGGTTAGTGCTTTAATCAGTTTTGTAGCCGAATTTAAGAATAAAAAGTTATTAGCAAAAAAAATAAAAATAAACAAATAATGGCGACGTGCCAAAACAAAAACTATAGGAGTACTATATATCCGGTTTTCGCCATTATTTAGTGCTTAATTAGTATATTTAAATTCCGTAATTTATTTTGTTAACCGTCATATGAAAAAATTGTAACACGCAAAAGAAATTTTTAGAGGTCAAATTTTGGCTAGAAAATTATGAAAGCACTAACGATGAAACTTATATCATACTTTAGTGCTTCGTTAGTAGAGGTTAGTGCTTCAATTCATTTTGTAGCCGAATTTATGAATAAAAAGTTATTCACGAAAAAAACAAAAATAAACAAATATTGGCGACGTGCCAAAACAAAAACTAGAGTAGTACTTAACATTCGGTTTTCGCCATTATTTAGTGCTTAATTAATGTATTTAAATTCCATTATTAATTTAGTTAACCGCCATATGGAAAAAAAGTTATTAGCTAAATAAAAATTATGAGGTCACGATTTAAGCGTGAAGTTCGCCGAACTTTTGGAAGCACTAACGATGAAACTTATGTCATTCTTTAGTACTTCGTTAGTAGAGGTTAGTGCTTTAATCACTTCCGTAGCCGAATTTAAGAATAAAAAGTTATTCACGAAAAAAACAAAAATAAACAAATAATGGCGACCTGCCAAAACAAAAACTAGAGTAGTACTTAACATCCGGTTTTCGCCATTATTTAGTGCTTAATTAATGTATTTAAATTCCATTATTAATTTAGTTAACCGCCATATGGAAAAAAGGTTATTAGCTAAATAAAAATTATGACGTCACGATTTAAGCGTGAAGTTGGCCGAACTTTTGGAAGCACTAACGATGAAACTTATATCATACTTTAGTGCTTCGTTAGTAGAGATTAGTGCTTTAATCAGTTTTGTAGCCGAATTTAAGAATAAAAAGTTATTCACGAAAAAAACAAAAATACACAAATAATGGCGACGTGCCAAAACAAAAACTATAGGAGTACTAAACATCCGGTTTTCGCCATTATTTAGTGCTTAATTAGTGTATTTAAATTCCGTTATTAATTTGGTTAACCGTCTTTATAAAAAATTGTAATACGCTAAAGAAATGTTTAGAGGTCAAATTATGGCCAGAAAAATATGAAAGCACTAACAATGAAATTTATACATTTCTTTAGGGCTTCCTTAGTAGAGGTTAGTGGTTCAATCACTTTTGTAGCCGAATTTAAGAATAAAAAGATTTTTGCGAAAAAAACAAAAATAAACAAATAATGGCGACGTGCCAAAACAAAAACTATAGTAATAATAAACATCCGGTTTTGCCATTATTTAGTACTCAATTAGTAAATTTGAATTCCATAATTAATTTGGTTAACCGTCTTTATAAAAAATTGTAATACGTTAAAGAAATGTTTAGAGGTCAAATTTTGGCCAGAAAATTATGAAAGCACTAACGATGAAATTTATATCCTTCTAGAGGTTAGTGCTTGAATCATTTTTGTAGCCGAATTTAAGAATAAAAAGTTATTTGCGAAAAACACAAATAATGGCGACGTGCTAAAACATGAACTATAGTAGTGCTAAACATCCGGTTTTGCCATTATTAAGTGCTCAATTAGTAAATTTGAATTCCATAATTAATTTGGTTAACCGTCTTTATAAAAAATTGTAATACGTTAAAGAAATGTTTAGTAGGTCAAATTTTGGCCAGAAAATTTTGAAAGCATTAACAATGAAATTTATATAATTCTTTAGAGCTTCCTTAGTAGAGGTTAGTGCTTCAATCAGTTTAATAGCCTAATTTAAAATAAAAAAGTTATTAACAAAATAAACAAAAAATCTATCAGCGACAAACATTTTATTTTCACCATTATTTAGTACTTATTTTGTAAAATTTAAACCCTAATTAGTTTGATTAAAAACCCCAAGTAATTAAAAAATGCATATTGTAACCAAGTCACAAAATATTATTTCCACTACTGTCTAAATAGGTCCATTGAACACCATTCTTGTGTAATAATTATATAATTTTTATTATTTTATTGTAACAACTACATTTTTTCTCCAGCATCTATTATTCTGAGGTGTCATTGAATGATATGGTTAAAAACATTCTCAGAAATTTTTTATTCTTAATTCAAATTGTTCTTTTTACATAGTTTTATTTTATTCGAAAAAATTAAGCATATATTTATTTCTATCATAAATTTTAGTTATATTAAGATCACAATATTATAAAGTACCCGTCGAACCGTGCTCAGACCTAATTTATTTTAAATAAATCGGGTTCGGGCCTAATATTTTTTAAAAAAGGGCCGGGTAGGGTTGGGCCTAGAAATTTTATTAAATATATCTAAATTTATCAATTATATATTAAATTTTTTTTGTAAAATAAAAATATTTGATTTTATTTATAGAAACTAAAAAACATATAACATGTCTTTTATTTTGAGTAATTTTAAAAATTATTTGCTATATTTAAATAAATTCGGGGATGACCGGGCCAGGTCGGTAAATTTTTTTAAAAAAATTTCTGGTTCGGGCCAGATCGGCAAAACTTTTTTAAAAAAATTTCGGACCGCGCTGGGCTTGAAAAATTAGGCCCGATGCAGATCACTAATACTTATGTAGGAATTCTGAGAGTTCCTGATTCGATAAATTACTGACATATTAATCCTTCAAATTTTCTGACATCTTTCTCGACGCCTAAGAAAATTTTAGACCAAAACATTAAAAAATTATATTCGATTCATAAATTTGACGTTCGTCTTTATTAAAGTTTTATTAAAAAATTTTTTAAAAAAATTATATCAAAATCAAAATGTTTTTTACAATAACTATGGAAAGTTATTTAACTATATAAGAATGTTTCACATTATGGAAATGTGTTACATACTATAAAAATTTACAAGTAATCAAAATTTTTTGAGTAATATAAAAAATTAACCACAGAATTCCCCACATGTGATCGCTGTAAACATATAATAAATAAAAGCCTAACAGCTGCACACATTACAAACAATCTTGAACCATCAAATTTATCTCAAGTAGATGATTTAAGACCTGATGGTATGACAACCATACCTTGGGCCCTCGGCAAATCACTTATTGGGACTACACGTGTGTCTCATAATTCCCTTCAAACATAAATTTCAATTTAATAACACAGGCAGAAATTAAAAAGACAAACAAATACAAAAATTTTAAAAACTTCATATTCACTCCAGTAGTGACTTCGCGGGCATTTTTCGCCTTCAACATGTTTTTAAAAAATCTGGGTAATAAAATACGACTTTTCACAAATGAACCAAGAGAATTCCTTTTTATTCGACAAAAAATTAAAATAGAAATTTTTAGACACAATTATGGTTCATTTTTGAGGACTCAATTATAGAATTTTATTTTTAATTATATAATTATAAATTATAATTTTTTAATTAGGTTTTTATTACATATTTTATAATTTTATATATTTTCATAATCCTTAGTGTATTACAATTTTTTATAAAGACGGTTAACCAAATTAATTACGGAATTCAAATTTACTAATTGAGCACTAAATAATGGCAAAACCGGATATTTATTACTACTATAATTTTTGTTTTGGCACGTCGCCATTATTTGTTTATTTTTGTTTTTTTCGCAAAAATCTTTTTATTCTTAAATTCGGCTACAAAAGTAATTGAACCACTAACCTCTACTAAGGAAGCCCTAAAGAAGGATATAAATTTCATCGTTAGTGCTTTCATAATTTTCTGGCTATAATTTTACCTCTAAACATTTCTTTAGTCTATTACAATTTTTTATAAAGACGGTTAATCAAATTAATTACGGAATTCAAATTTGCTAATTAAGCACTAAATAATGGTGAAAACCGGATGTTTAGTACTACTATAGTTTTTGTTTTTGCACGTCGCCATTATTTGTTTTTTTCGAAAATAACTTTTTATTCTTAAATTCGGCTACAAAAGTAATTGAACCACTAACCTATACTAAGGAAGCCTTAAAGAAGGATATAAATTTTATCGTTAGTGCTTTCATAATTTTCTAACCGAAATTTGACCTCTAAAAATTTCTTTAGCATTTTACAATTTTTTCATATGACGGTTAACAAAATTAATAACGGAATTTAAATACACTAATTAAGCACTAAATAATGGCGAAAACCGGATGTTTAGTACTACTATAGTTTTTGTTTTTGCACGTCGTCATTATTTGTTTTTTTCGCAAATTTTTTATTCTTAAATTCGGCTACAAAAGTAATTGAACCACTAACCTCTACTAAGGAAGCCTTAAAGAAGGATATAAATTTTATTGTTAGTGCTTTCATAATTTTCTAACCAAAATTTGACCTCTAGCAATTTACAATTTTTTCATATGACGGTAACAAAATTAATAACGGAATTTAAATACACTAATTAAGAACTAAATAATGGCGAAAACGGTTTAGTACTACTATAGTTTTTGTTTTTGCACGTCGTCATTATTTGTTTTTTTCGCAAATAACTTTTTATTCTTAAATTCGGCTACAAAAGTAATTGAACCACTAACCTCTACTAAGGAAGCCCTAAAAAAGGATATAAATTTCATCGTTAGTGTTTTCATAATTTTCTAGCCGAAATTTAACTTCTAAAAATCTCTTTAGCGTGTTACAATTTTTTCATATGACGGTTAACAAAATAAATTACGGAGTTTAAATATACTAATTAAGCACTAAATAATGGCGAAAACCGGATGTTTATTACTCCTATAGTTTTTGTTTTGGCACGTCGCCATTATTTTTTTATTTTTTTTGCTAATAACTTTTTATTCTTAAATTCGGCTACAAAACTGATTAAAGCACTAACCTCTACTAACGAAGCACTAAAAAATGATATAAGTTTCATCGTTAGTGCTTTCATAATTTTCTAGCCGAAATTTGACCTCTAAAAATTTCTTTAGCATTTTACAATTTTTTCATATGACGGTTAACAAAATTAATAACGGAATTTAAATACACTAATTAAGCACTAAATAATGGGAAAAACCGGATGTTTAGTACTCCTATAGTTTTTGTTTTGGCACGTCGCCATTATTTGTTTATATTTTTTTTTCGTGAATAACTTTTTATTCTTAAATTCGGCTACAAAACTGATTATAGCACTAACCTCTACTAACGAAGCAATAAAGAATGATATAAGTTTCATCGTTAGTGCTTTCATAATTTTCTAGCCGAAATTTGACCTCTAAAAATTTCTTTAGCGTGTTACAATTTTTTCATATGACGGTTAACAAAATAAATTACAGAATTTAAATATACTAATTAAGCACTAAATAATGGCGAAAACTGGATGTATAGTACTCCTATAGTTTTTGTTTTGGCACGTCGCCATTATTTGTTTATTTTTATTTTTTTTGCTAATAACTTTTTATTCTTAAATTCGGCTACAAAACTGATTAAAGCACTAACCTCTACTAACGAAGCACTAAAAAATAATATAAGTTTCATCGTTAGTGCTTTCATAATTTTCAAGCCGAATTTTGACCTCTAAAAATTTCTTTAGCATTTTACAATTTTTTCATATGACGGTTAATTAAATTAATAATGGAATTCAAATACATTAATTAAGCACTAAATAATGGCGAAAACTGGATGTTAAGTACTACTCTAGTTTTTGTTTTGGCACGTCGCCATTATTTATTTATTTTTATTTTTTTTGCTACTAACTTTTTATTCTTAAATTCGGCTACAAAACTGATTAAAGTACTAACCTCTACTAACGAAGCACTAAAGAATGATATAAGTTTCATCGTTAATGCTTTCATAATTTTCAAGCCGAAATTTGACCTATAAAAATTTCTTTAGCGTGTTACAATTTTTTCATATGACGGTTAACAAAATAAATTACAGAATTTAAATATACTAATTAAGCACTAAATAATGGCGAAAACCGGTTTTTGTTTTGGCACGTCACCATTATTTGTTTATTTTTATTTTTTTGCTAATAACTTTTTATTCTTAAATTCGGCTACAAAACTGATTAAAGCACTAACCTCTACTAACGAAGCACTAAAAAATAATATAAGTTTCATCGTTAGTGCTTTCATAATTTTCAAGCCGAAATTTGACCTCTAAAAATTTCTTTAGCATTTTACAATTTTTTCATATGACGGTTAACTAAATTAATAATGGAATTTAAATACATTAATTAAGCACTAAATAATGGCGAAAACCGGATGTTAAGTACTACTCTAGTTTTTGTTTTGGCACGTCGCCATTATTTGTTTATTTTTTGCTAATAACTTTTTATTCTTAAATTCGGCTACAAAACTGATTAAAGCACTAACCTCTACTAACGAAGCACTAAAGAATGACATAAGTTTCATCGTTAGTGCTTTCATAATTTTCTAGCCGAAATTTGACCTCTAAAAATTTCTTTAGCGTGTTACAATTTTTTCATATGACGGTTAACAACATAAATTACAGAATTTAAATATACTAATTAAGCACTAAATAATGGCGAAAACCGGATGTATAGTACTCCTCTAGTTTTTGTTTTGGCATGTCGCCATTATTTGTTTATTTTTGTTTTTTTCGTGAATAACTTTTTATTCTTAAATTCGGCTATGGAACTGATTGAAGCACTAACCTATACTAATGAAGCACTAAAGAATGATATAAGTTTCATCGTTAGTGCTTCCAAAAGTTCGGCCAACTTCACGCTTAAATCGTGACGTCATAATTTTTATTTAGCTAATAACATTTTTTCCATATGGCGGTTAACTAAATTAATAATGGAATTTAAATACATTAATTAAGCACTAAATAATGGTGAAAACCGGATGTTAAGTACTACTCTAGTTGGCACGTCGCCAATATTTGTTTATTTTTGTTTTTTTCGTCAATAACTTTTTATTCATAAATTCGGCTACAAAATGGATTGAAGCAACCTCTACTAACGAAGCACTAAAGAATGATATAAGTTTCATCGTTAGTGCTTCCGAGCTCAAAATTTAACTTACCTTTAAAATGGATTTATTTCATTTTTACATATGCTTAAAACATTATTTTTTTTTATAAAATAAATAAATGATGTTTATTTAACATTTGAAAAAAAATCTCGTTAAAAATTCGCCATATTGAGATTTTTATTCGTATTATTTTCCAGATTTTTCTCAAATGGATTTTTAAAAATTCATATTTCTAAAAGTATTCAATTTGATAAGGTAATATTTTATAAATACTTATATATTAATTTATATCGTATCATGTCATCCGTGAAAATTTTAAAGCGAAATATATTATCGCAAATGCATTACCGCGAAAAGATATTAAAGCGAATGCATTACCGCGAATACATCATAGCGAAAACAGTATCGCGAATGCGTTATAGCGAATGCATTACCGCGAAAACATTATCACGAATGTATTACAGCGAATGTATTACCGCAAATACATCACGTCAATACCGCGAAAATTTTAACGCGAAATATATTATCGCGAATGCATTACCGCGAAAAGATATTATAGTGAATGCACTACCGCGAAAACATTATCGCGAATGCATTACCACAAATACATTATCGCAAATGCATCATAGCGAATGCATTATCACGTATGCATCATAGCGAATGTACTAGCACGAATGCATTAGAGAGAATGCATTACCGCGAAATTATTATCATGAATGCATTACAGCGAATGTATTAAAGCATATGTATTTACGCGAATGCATTGTCGCGAATTATTATCGTGAATGTATTATCGCGAATGCATTTCGCGAATGCAATATCGCAAATGCATTAAGTATTAAAATTCTTTGCTACTCATCCACTTACTTTATAATAAGGAGTTCATCGCTAATATTGTTACATCTGAATATTTATTATTGTAAAGGTTAAGATATATTTAAAAGGTCACGTTATATATTTTAAAAGGACGTTATTTGTATATTATATTATAACTTTCAGACATGTTATATTATATTATCGAGGTTAATCAAATTGCATATTATTAGAAGGTAAATTGGATAATTATGTAAATGTATATATACCAAAAGAATTACAAATAAAATTCATTATCGTTTTTTAAACTTTAATCGCTTTAATATTTGGCGACGAGGTAAAAGGTCGCGCGGTTTTCGGTCAAGTTAAATATTATATAGAATTATAATTTTTTTTTTGTTAAAAAATAAATAAATTGATTTAGCAATTATGGATGAAAGATGAATGAGATAAATGGGCTACTGACGACTATAGACACATAAAATATCCTCAAAATTTTCTATTGATAGAGGAGCAATTGATTTCATTAGATTAAGTCGCGGCCCTACTGAATCCGTAATGAGATATATAAAAAAAAATATATATATATAAAGGAGCTAGCTCGAAGATGCGAATTTTATGATAACGTAGAACTAAGAATTCGCGATCAATTAATCACCGGAGAACTATGTTTACGATACCCAGATACTAAAGACGAAGACCAACCGTTAAACTTAAACAAAATTATAGAATTTAAGATATAAAGGGCACTATCAAAAGGATAGATGCAGCCTATTTAGATTCCATGGATTATAGAATTTATATGATAAAGGGCACAATCAAAATGATTGATGCAGTGATGCAGCCTATTTAGATTTCCATGGATTATAGAATTTATGATAATGATAAAGGGCACTATCAAAATGATTGATTCAGCCTATTTAGATTTCCATGGATTATAGAATTTATGATAATGATAAAGGGCACTATCAAAATGATTGATACAGCCTATTTGGAATTCCGTGGATTATAAAATTTGACACAGCCTATTTAGATTTCCAGGGATTATAGAATTTGACTTATCGTTACCAATATATGTAGAAATTAATATGATCTACAATATAATGATAATGGTAACGTGAGACAAACTATATAGAGTAACCTGGAGTACTCCAGTGGTAGTGGTACGTAAAACTTCAGGTACTACGATTATGTGGAGAATAATTCTACCAACGAATAGCAAAAATCGCTATAGATCTACAGATAAATGATGATAAAATAACAAGCGAAAATAAAACAGTGATGGTGGGAACAATTGGTCGAAAAACTAGAATCGCCATCACAATTGGTCGAAAAATTAGAATCGCCATCACAATCCTGGAAAAGGGAAGAAAAAAAAAGGTACAAAACTGTATTAAAACATCCCGACCAACTACGAATAAGGGAAGAAAGAACAGACGAAATCAAATCAATAATAACAATTGAACCAAGTCAAAAAGGAAGGCAAACGGGTTATCCAACAAGGGAACTAAAGCCAACAAAAAAAAATTAATAGATGAACTTGAACTTGGTAAATAAAAAGATTGGTAGACGATCTTAACTTGGTGGGAAAGGAGATATGTTACATTTGAATATTTATTATTGTAAAGGTTAAGATATATTTTAAAAGGACGTTATTTGTATATTGTATTATATTATATTATAACTTTCCGACATGTAATATAATATTGGTTAATCAAATTGCATATTATTAGAAGTTAAATTGGATAATTATATAAATGTATATATACCAAAAGAATTACAAATAAAATTCATTATCGTTTTTTAAACTTTATTCTTAATAAATATGTTTTTATTTTTAAAATATATCAGAAACCATAAATTTGTTATCTTTTGGAAGTTCCTGGTCGATAGATCTCGTTTTCTCTAAGGAAATTGTAAAAAGTAAAATCATAAATGATAAGTTCGCTTCAGCTTATTTAATTAATTTTAAATCCGACTATGCTTGCTTTTAAAACTTCTGTTTTAAATCTTTCTATAAAACCTCCTTTAGTCTGGAAGAATGCACATTTAAAAAAATATGAAGGCATATGAAATATAAAAAAGAGATATTTTCCGCCTTTCGCTATTTAGGGTTATACATCTACTCCTTGATGTAAACAACATTTTTTGCGAGAACAAAAATTGTACTCACAAAGTAAATATTTTATACCATGAAATTTTCTCATCTTCCACTCTAATAAAATTCGTGATATTCGCCAGATTATAACAACCGAACTGAAATGGAAATATAATAATTTGTTTTAAAAATAGCTAAGTTATTTTTAATAATATATGAGGCATGTTCAATTCATTCAATTTTAGCTAAACTTATATTTAATATGTTTCTATATATATTTTTATACAATTTTTTCTTTAATCGCATAACTAGTAAAAAGACTCGTCAGGAATCAAGAACCCAACAAGAATCAATTAAGGAAATCATTTTTATATCGTTTCTCCCAATTCCTGAGCCACAATAGTCGCAATTTCATCATTTGAGATATGTGTAGCCATTCACAACAATCTACCTATGATGAGGAATATTGTTTTATGACTTATTTAAATAAGCTTTGGCCTTGCCCTTTTGATTAAGCAATAAAAGAACTTTATACAAACTTATTATCAAAAATGCTTATCAAGTCAATACTAAATCCTCAATAATTATAGCATACTTTGTCAAAGATTAATATAAATGATTTCCGAGGACTAATTATCTGTTTGGCTCAATGTTTTAAATAAGACTTTTCTTAGCACCTTGCAAATTTAATTTATTTCATCCAAAGCTCCATCCAAAATCTCTATTTATTTTGAGGCCCGTGCCTAGCCATTATTTTAAATTTTAGGCCTGAGCCTGTCCTGTCCCAAATTTAATCGAAAAATATAACTAAACGCCTATTTTACAATCAAATAATATAAAAACTTAATATCTTTACCCTAATCCTCGAGAAATCTATTTTATTGCTTAGAATCTTATATATTTTGAGTCAATTAAACCAAAAGCCTTAACCCTATTTTCAAAAAAAAATATTTTTAGACCCAAGCCCAACTTTAACTTAATTTCCAGGTTCAACTAATATTTCTAAGGACCGATAAATATAAAATTGTAATTTTCATCAAACTCCATTCCCGATATTACAAATGATGTGATTCATTTAAGATAATGCATTCACGATTATGCATTCACTATTATGCATTCATGATTATGCATTCGCGACTATACATTTGCGCTAATACTTTCGCTATAATGCATTCGCTATAATAAATTCGCTTTAATATTTTCGCGATAATGCATTCGCGATAATTCATTCGCGGTAAAGCTTTTGCTGCAATGCATTCGCGATAATTCCTTCGCTGTAATGTATTCGCTATAACACTTTCGCCGTATTACATTCGCTATAATATTTTAGCTGTATAATATTCGCTATAATGCATTCGTGATATTATTTTCACGATAATGCATTCGCAGTAATACATTCGCTATAATATTATTTCGCGGTAATCGATATAATTTTTATATGTATATCATTTTTTTAAATATATAATACATCTTATTTTAATAATTATATTATTTATATCAATGAATCCCATTATGCAGAATCGGTCAACTGATATGAATCCTCTGCCTCAGTTATTGGCCGAAAAATATCGGCGATGTTAAACTCCATAAAAACTAATTCAATTAATATATCTAATTATCTTCCGGAATTTTTGACATTTCAAACAAATTTATAAGCAGCCCTAAGTATGAAACGTTAAAATAAATATTATTTTCCTTACTACTTATATTTATTATTTTATAGATTTAAATCTGCCAATATTTTTGAAATTGGAATAATTTTATAGCGATAAACATGCTAATGGGGATGAACAAAAATACCAGCCTACCGGGATTATTGGAGCATAATGCCAGATTTCCACGATCAATATATAGCCAAACTAATGCTTGTAAATAGGGTTGAATGGCTGCTTATCCATACAAATGATAATACTTTGACCTCTCAGAGCGAATCTTTTGATTTCGATAAACATGTCCGACCTTGTAAGACTATGATGCTGGCAGAAATGATAACTTATGTGGCAGCTTATTAGCAGAGCCCAGCTATCCAACACCATCTAATAAAAACAAGTGCCTTTGAAGATTAGGAGATGTGACGCCTCACATAGAAGAAGATATTCTCCTTGTTCAATAGTTATACTAGAACATCGTTCTTATTTGTGGCGCTATAACTCTCTTAAAGTTGAAATTGTTTTAAACCGTATCATGAAATATGTTTATTTGCACAATGGGATATCAGATGTCCCCTTTAAATTTTGTAATATCTTATGAAATCTTTATATATATTTTTAAAAATAAAATTATACCGAAATTATATGAGATTTTTACTATATTTTTAATAAAAAATTTTACCTATGCAAAATAGGACTTTTTTAAAATTTCTGTGCATGAAAGGTTTAATAATAACAAAAATTGAATATTCTTATATCATATTCTAATGTTAAATATCCGAGTCCGAGTGGTTGGTCGACTGACTTAGTGCAGAACTAGAGTCGTGAACTCGATGAGGTCAATCCAGTATTATATCGAAATAATTATATTGTATAAATAAATTAGAATACTTTATCGGGCTGCGAAGATAAATTAATAAAATTTGTCTGTTATATGATTTTTATTTGATATATCTTCAAAAAAATGCGGTATCATATATTTACTAAATTAAAAATTTCAATTAGGGCCCGAACCTATAAAAATTTGGGCCAACATCGGGACTAAAACAAATATAAATTTCGAACCAGGTAGGACAGACATTTTATCGGATAAAGACTTTGATTTTAAAATTTATTTTGGATTCAAATCAACTCGGAAGTCGACAAAAAAATTTTGCCCTATAATTTATATTTTAGAGAATAACTAAGGAAATGTTTATTGTCCTTATCTCAGATTTCATTGAAATATCGTACCCTTTAACATTACAAAGATATTTTTTTGGATCGGATCTTGAAAAAAATTTCTTGAATCAGTTGAGAAGATTTCTTGAATCAGTTGAATTTCTAATTTTTTACCAGATTTTTATTTAAATTGAGTAAAATGAAATAGAAATTTGACAAATTAATTTATAATATTTGTTGTGATGATCGAGGATTATGCTAATTAGATGTTGTACTTATGTTACGCTTAACTATGATTTTTATTATGTTAATGTTATGTTTACTTAAGTTGAGTTTAACAATGTGTTGATTATTCTAATTTTTATGTTTTTGTTTTATTCATAATTTTGGAGTATATTATTAAGTTTTATGTTTCGTATAATTTGGATGAATATGCAAATGTTGATAAAAAGATTAAAATATTTAATATTCGTTTTTATATCAAAAATTATTATTCTTTTTCTTAAAATAAAGTTCATATTTAATTATTTAATTTTTAGTTAATTATTTAATTCTTGTTTAAATTAAATATAATTCATTCAGTCCAGTACCATGACTTAAAAAAGTCATGGCGGAGTGAGGAAAATAAAAGGAAAAATTATATCAGGGACGATTTGTATGATATATTATATATAATATATATAAGTATCAAGTTTATTAATTTTCTTATATGCAATTAATATTTTAAAATTAGTTAAATTAATGTTAATTTGTTGGTTAGAGATGTATATAAGTCAATTTAATTTTGTAGATATTTTTGTTAAAATATTGTGTTGATTTTAATAGTGGTAATATTTTTAAGTTTCGCTTTAGGAGTAGGAAGAAATACGTTATATGATGGAAAAATTGTTGGAAAAGTTAAAAAGTTGATAAGAGAAAAAGATAATTTAAGACAGACAAACATAAGACATTTTAATTGTTATAGTTAAAGTCAACCTGGTCATATGTAGTGTTGTTAAAAAGTCGAGTTCTTACGAATTGCGACTCGAGTCGTAGTCGTAAAAAACGGCTCCGACTCAAGCCGATCAAGGAGCCGCATGAGTCGGCTCGCTTAGTCGGCTCACTTAGTCGGCTAGCTTAGTCGGCTCACTTAGTGGGCTCAGAGGGTAGCTTGAGTTTATTTTAAATTTAGAGCCAAAAATTATTTTAAAGTTATTGAGAAATTTTAAATAATAATGTAGAATTTTATTTATTTATTTTTAGTAAAATAATTTATTTTATTTATATTTTATTTAATGCAAATAATATGTTTTGATTTGATTATAATAAAAATGGATTTATTTATTTGATTTTTTTTTAAATAAAAAAAAAATTAATATTTTTGAGCTAAAAATTTTAAGAAAAAAATATTTTTGAAACATATTTTGCTGATTTTTTGAAGAAATTTTATTCTTTTGTTTTATCATAAAATTTTATTCTTTTTTTAATTATATCATAAATAAATAATCTTTTAGGTCAAATCTTCTATAGTTTTTTTTATATTATTTTTATAAATATATCTATATTTTAAGTTTATTATTAGAGGTGGCTTTTTCTAAATATTTTTTTAATAAATATATTTATATTTTAAGAATATTAAAAGAGGTGGTTTTTCTAAATTATTTTTTTATTAATATTTATGTCAAACTTTTTTTTAATGCCGCAATTGTCATATGCGTTATTTTTTAAGATTTTTGGACACAAAAGGGTTATAATATAATTTATATTGTAAAGATATTATATTATAAATTCAATGAAGATGTTCCCTGGAAAAATGATAATTATCATAATGGGTAGGTATATTTTTGAACATATAAGATTTTTTTATGACGCTAATGGGCAAAAATATGTTTCTTTAACAGGTAAAATTTAATGTAGATGTACCCTAGATAAATGACAATTGTCATAATAGTTATTTTTAAAGTTTTTCGAATTTTTTGACGTAAATGGGCTAAAATAAGCATTGCTAACATGTTAAAATAAAATTTTAGTGAAGATGTACCCTAGATAAGTGACAATTGTCATAATCGTTGTTTTTAAAGTTTTTCGAATTTTTTTGACGTAAATGGGCTAAAATAAGCATTGCTAACATGTTAAAATAAAATTTTAGTGAAGATGTACCCTAGATAAGTGACAATTGTCATAATCGTTGTTTTTAAAGTTTTTCGAATTTTTTTGACGTAATTGGGCTAAAATAAGCATTGCTAACATTATTAAATAAAATTTTAGTGGAGATGTACCATAGATAAGTGACAATTGTCATAATCGTTGTTTTTAAAGTTTTTCGAATTTTTTTGACGTAATTGGGCTAAAATAAGCATTGCTAACATTATTAAATAAAATTTTAGTGGAGATGTACCATAGATAAGTGACAATTGTCATAATCGTTGTTTTTAAAGTTTTTCAAATTTTTTTGACGTAAATGGGCTAAAATAAGCATTGCTAATGTTTAAATAAAATTTTAGTGGAGATGTACCATAGATAAGTGACAATTGTCATAATCTTTGTCTTTAAAGTTTTTCGAATTTTTTTGACGTAAATGGGCTAAAATAAGCATTGCTAACATGTTTAAATAAAATTTTAGTGGAGATGTACCATAGATAAGTGACAATTGTCATAATCGTTGTTTTTAAAGGAATTTTTTTGACGTAAATGGGCTAAAATAAGCATTGCTAACATGTTTAAATAAAATTTTAGTGGAGATGTACCATAGATAAGTGACAATTGTCATAATCTTTGTCTTTAAAGTTATTCGAATTTTTTTGACGTAAATGGGCTAAAATAAGCTTTGCTAACATGTTTAAATAAAATTTTAGTGGAGATGTACCATAGATAAGTGACAATTGTCATAATCGTTGTTTTTAAAGTTTTTCGAATTTTTTTGACGTAATTGGGCTAAAATAAGCATTGCTAACATTATTAAATAAAATTTTAGTGGAGATGTACCATAGATAAGTGACAATTGTCATAATCGTTGTTTTTAAAGTTTTTCGAATTTTTTTGACGTAATTGGGCTAAAATAAGCATTGCTAACATTATTAAATAAAATTTTAGTGGAGATGTACCATAGATAAGTGACAATTGTCATAATCGTTGTTTTTAAAGTTTTTCGAATTTTTTTGACGTAAATGGGCTAAAATAAGCATTGCTAATGTTTAAATAAAATTTTAGTGGAGATGTACCATAGATAAGTGACAATTGTCATAATCTTTGTCTTTAAAGTTTTTCGAATTTTTTTGACGTAAATGGGCTAAAATAAGCATTGCTAACATGTTTAAATAAAATTTTAGTGGAGATGTACCATAGATAAGTGACAATTGTCATAATCGTTGTTTTTAAAGGAATTTTTTTGACGTAAATGGGCTAAAATAAGCATTGCTAACATGTTTAAATAAAATTTTAGTGGAGATGTACCATAGATAAGTGACAATTGTCATAATCTTTGTCTTTAAAGTTTTTCGAATTTTTTTGACGTAAATGGGCTAAAATAAGCTTTGCTAACATGTTTAAATAAAATTTTAGTGGAGATGTACCATAGATAAGTGACAATTGTCATAATCGTTGTTTTTAAAGTTTTTCGAATTTTTTTGACGTAATTGGGCTAAAATAAGCATTGCTAACATTATTAAATAAAATTTTAGTGGAGATGTACCATAGATAAGTGACAATTGTCATAATCGTTGTTTTTAAAGTTTTTCGAATTTTTTTGACGTAAATGGGCTAAAATAAGCATTGCTAATGTTTAAATAAAATTTTAGTGGAGATGTACCATAGATAAGTGACAATTGTCATAATCTTTGTCTTTAAAGTTTTTCGAATTTTTTTGACGTAAATGGGCTAAAATAAGCATTGCTAACATGTTTAAATAAAATTTTAGTGGAGATGTACCATAGATAAGTGACAATTGTCATAATCGTTGTTTTTAAAGGAATTTTTTTGACGTAAATGGGCTAAAATAAGCATTGCTAACATGTTTAAATAAAATTTTAGTGGAGATGTACCATAGATAAGTGACAATTGTCATAATCTTTGTCTTTAAAGTTTTTCGAATTTTTTTGACGTAAATGGGCTAAAATAAGCTTTGCTAACATGTTTAAATAAAATTTTAGTGGAGATGTACCATAGATAAGTGACAATTGTCATAATCGTTGTTTTTAAAGTTTTTCGAATTTTTTTGACGTAATTGGGCTAAAATAAGCATTGCTAACATTATTAAATAAAATTTTAGTGGAGATGTACCATAGATAAGTGACAATTGTCATAATCGTTGATTTTAAAGTTTTTCGAATTTTTTTGACGTAAATGGGCTAAAATAAGCATTGCTAACATGTTTAAATAAAATTTTAGTGGAGATGTACCATAGATAAGTGACAATTGCCATAATCTTTGTCTTTAAAGTTTTTCGAATTTTTTTGACGTAAATGGGCTAAAATAAGCATTGCTAACATGTTTAAATAAAATTTTAGTGGAGATGTACCATAAATAAGTGACAATTGTCATAATCGTTGTTTTTAAAGTTTTTCGAATTTTTTTGATGTAATTGGGCTAAAATAAGCATTGCTAACATTATTAAATAAAATTTTAGTGGAGATGTACCATAGATAAGTGACAATTGTCATAATCGTTGTTTTTAAAGGAATTTATAATAATAATTTTTGGTTTTTAATTATAAGAGAAAACAAGAGATATAAATATAGAAAATCTGAATTTAGGAATATATATGACAAATAATTTGTGAAGATGTGCGAAAGGTCGAATTGAAAAATTTTAAAGATAAATAAATGTCCGAGAATTAAGATAAAAATAGAAGCAGAAATACGTTTTTTATTAGATATAGGAGCTGAAATTAGCCTTATGAATGTAAAAGATTTTAATAAATTTTAGCCAGAAAAAGAATTCGTTACAAAAAAAAAGAGCCAGACAATTAGATGGTAGCATAGTTAAAGTTTTAGGTTATTATATGATAAAATTACCTGGAATTAATAAGAGTATAATGTTATGGATAACAACGTTGAAAATTGAGCCAATTTTAGTTTGGTACGACAGACAATAAGTCCTGACTACAATTGGTGGAATTTTTTTGAAACTGTCTCCGAGATTAATGAGGTAAATAGAGAACTAATAAAGAGTGATATCGATAAGATTAAGTTACTTAGAAGTTAAACAAGATTTAGTTCTCAATAAACTAACAAACACCAGTGATTAGGTATAAAAGTAAGATAGAAGAGAATAATGTATCAAGAGATATAAATTTTATAGAGGTAACTCCAGTGAAATCAACAAACATAGGTAATCTAAAAAATGTTGAAGTAGATTTAAAAATATTGGAAAACTACTAGGCTAAATTTTGTGGATTAAGAAGATTACCGTTTTCTTGGACAGAGGAAATAGATAAGGAAAACTAAACAAATGGCTAAAAAAGAAAGAAGACCAATATAGCGTCTGGGCGACATCGTTAGTCCCCATAAGAAAACCATATAATAGCTTGTTATGCATAGATTATAGGATATCTGTAAACCCGTGGATAATAACAGTGACTTTACCAAGAAGAGAGCAATTATTAGCTAACCTAAAGGAGGGAAATTTTTTTCGAAGATAGATTTTTCTAATGTTTATTTACAGATTAAGGTGAATGAGAATACAAGTAAAATTTTAACAATTACAACACATAGAAGGTTGTTTGCATTCTGCCGATTGCCTTTTGGGTTAAAAGTATCTGACCCAATATTTCAAAAAACAATGGGTTTTTATTCCAAGGATTAAGTGGAATCATGTAGAAGATGTTTTGATATCAGGTATAACAAAACAGGAGCGATTTAATTTTTTTTATTTCTACAATAAACTTATCTAGTGAATAATACTTTAATAAAAGTAATCTATTTAAGAATTAAGTCTTATCTTTCTCTTATATAACTTATCCCTCTAAATATCCTAATTGCTTATTCTGCTATAAAAGATTATTTTAAAATAATTTGGTCCTGTAAGTATTTTATATGCTTTTTATATTTTAATAAGTAAATAATCTTAGCTTTAAAATAACAAAGATCATTATTTATCAAAATATTGTGTGATATAAAAAATCATCTGTATAATAAATATTATTTGTTGTTTGGAAGTAAAGAATATTGCAAAAAACGTGCCTTAAAAAGCTTTGAAAAAACGTTTTGATTGCAAATTACTTAAACCATATTGACCTTCAAAAATTCCTAGAGGATTTTATGGTCTTACCTAATAAAACTCATATGGCCACCTTATATATTTAAATTCTTAAAATTTCAAAAAATGGCATCATAAAGTGCTGCTTGCTAAAAATATTACTAGTGAAAATATTTGAACACTGAAATTTTTTTCAAAATTTGTATTTTCCTAAAGATTTTTAATTACTTTGAAAATTGTTAAATTAGGAAAACTTATACTTTGGAGTTTAAAAACTCATAATTTCAGATTTAAATGAGCCAGAGTTATAAAATTTTGATTTGGGTAAAATAATCTGTTTAACTAACATAAAATATTTCATTATATTTTCAAGAATGGTTTCCAAAAGTCAGATATTTTTGAATAATTTGTCATGAAATGACCTTAAACATTATTCAACAAATTTGTACTGTGGAGTCTTGTCTAAAAATTTAAATCAAACAGATGTGAATCTAATTTAAAATAGATAATATTTCATAGAAAATTTGATGTTAAAATTTTAATGGGTCAATTATGTATTTTGTAGAATATTTCACTGAGGGCCCAAGTACAACTAACACCATGAAATTGGTGCCCATGCTATCATATCAATTAGGGCACTTTTTTCAAATTGGACAACTTATCAAACAAATTTTTTTTAATGCAAGGACCATTAAGATAATATATTTAAAAATATATTTAGTAATCATCATGATTGCTTTTACTATTTATTTGATTCCAATTGAATTAAGATTAATCTCAAATTATAAAAACAAAGTATTAAATAAAAATTATAAATCAATTATACCAATCTGCTCACACTAAGCTGTAAACCAAACACCAAATTGATCTCTTTACCTTTGAACCATAATATAGCAAAGAAATTCTGTGCTACTGCTAACGATTCACCACCAACCCTAAAAACATATATTAAATAATGTATTAAAAAATGCTATTATAGTGAGAACCTACCCAAACACAAAACGACCAATACACATAAGCCAATAAGCATTTAAAAATGCTCCAATTGAAAATATAATCTATAAGTAACATATATAGTAATTAAAGAAATATTTTTACATTTCCAATTAAAACTAATCCAGCAAATAAGAAAGTGGCAAAACGTATTCCAAATACTTTATCTATAAGATAACCACCAAAAAAACATAGAATAATATTTGGCCAAGAATACCATGAATAAAATGCCATAAATTGACTTCCTGAAATGTTAATATCTTTGCGAATTTGATCTTGCAAAGGGGCTGGAGAGTCATAACAAATACAGGCACCTACATTTAATTTGATTAATTATTATATATATATGATTACCAAATCCCACAAAACAAGATAAAATTAAAATACAAAACCTATAAAAGGCTCTATTAGGGTCAAATAAAGTTTTATTCTTATCAATATTGCTATAAAGTTCATGTGAATTAACGAATATTATTTTGCTATTGTTCTTAAGATCATATATTTGATCATTAAATTTTTTATTATTATAATTTTTTAGGCTTTTTTGCAAAAGAATAGACTTTTCTGATATATTATTTGATTCATAGCTCATATTCACTATAATGAATGATTTTGAGTTACATTTAGCTGTTATAAAAAATTATAATTGACATTATTAAGGGTCAGCAATTTTGGCAAAAAATAACTTATTTTAAAAAAAATACTTAAAAAATAACACAATTACGTAATTCACTTTTTTGATTTAATTGCTATTTTAGTTGGTCTGATATATTAAGGGTGATATTTTTGTTTAATTCTTAAATAATATAATACTCTTTTTATTTGAGGTTATATGAAAAAATGTCTATCTCACACATTATTCAATTTTATTTATGTTACAGTAAAGAAATAACAAAAAAGTAAAATATTATTTAAATTGGGCTATAAAAGAAATGTCAAAAAACAAAAATTTTAGGCTATGCCGATTATATATAATCATATGCGTAGCCAAGGGAGGGGAGGCAAGGGTAATTTTTCCCCCCCCCACCCCTCTTCAGAAATTTATCACTTTTTGTGAATATCATTATAAGCTAATAAAAAATATTCCCCTAAGTCCTCTCCCTACTGTCTGACCCTCAAAAATGTATGCATATATCTTAAACAATAATTTGAAAGAAAGAAGGTAAAAGTTGATATTTTTTTTATAAAACTATTCATCATAATATATACATTTTTGGGAAAAAGCATTTATATATAAAAAGTGTGAACCAAAAATGTTTTTTAAGAAATGGAATATAAGCCAAAGATAAGTTTTAAGACAAAAGTGAAATGTATTATAATTATTAATAATAGATCCATAAAATTATTAAATAATATAATAAATATAATATAACAAATATAATATATCAAATATAATATATCAAATATAGTATATCAAATATAATATATCAAATATAATATATCAAATATAATATATCAAATATAATATATCAAATATAATATATCAATTTTTTTTTTCTCTTTAGCTTTCACCTTTTCTGGTGGTAAGCTCCTTCAACATCTCTCTCCACTTTATGTTATTCGTACAATCTCTTTTATCTATTTTATACTTCTTTATATTGGCTCTAACTTTATGGCCCCATTGAAGTTTTGGCCTTCCTCTTTTACGTTTGCCCATCACTTCCAATCTTTCAACTTTATTTCCTATGTAGTTCATAGGCCTTCTCATTGTGTGCCCATACCACCTAAGTCTGTTTACCATTAACTTAGTCTTAATGGGCACTACCTTTAAACTATTTAGTATTCTTGTACTGCGCACCTTATCCTTTCTTGTTACCCCAGCAATCATCCTCAGCATTCTCATCTCCATAGTTTGTAGACTTCTCTCGTCTGATTCTTTGGTTGGCCATGTTTCCGAACTATATAGAATAGTTGGTTGTACCATGGAACTGTAAATTTTTCCCTTTAATTTGTGTGGGATTCTTTTGTCAAATAGCACTCCAGATAAAGATCTCCACTTTAACCACCCTTGATTAATCTTATTCTTTATCTCTTTTTCTATTGTGCCGTTTGTTTGTATAGTGGAGCCCAAATATTTGCAGCTTTCAATTGCGGATATCTGCCAATCATTTATATCAATACTCTCCGTTTCATCTCCTCCTATCACCATATACTCCGTCTTTTCTCTATTTACTTTTAATCCGTGCGTTTCTAGGATATTTATCCAATTCACTAACCTTTCTTTCATTTCATCCTTGGATTCGGCAAGTATCACAATATCATCTGCAAATATCATATTCCACGGGACTGTTTGAGGTATAGACTGTGCTAATACATCTATTACTGTAATGAAGAGAAGTGGGCTGAGAGCCGACCCTTGATGAACTCCTTCGGCTATTGTGAAGCCTGCTGAAGTACCTGTTGTGCTACGGACCATTGTTGTATGTCCCATATACATATCCTCTATTATTCTTATATATTTTTCGGGAACTTTTTTGTGGCGTAGCGCCCACCAGATAAGTTTTCTTGGGATTCTATCGAAGGCCTTTTCTAGATCGAGAAAGACCATATGTAGCTTTTTGTTCTTTTCCCTGTATTTTTCACTCATTTGCCTAATTGCATGGATAGCATCGGTTGTTGATCTTCCAGGCATAAAGCCAAACTGTGTCTCTCCTATTTCGATTATATCTCTTAATCTTTTTTCTATTATTTTTTCGTATAGTTTTAGACAGTGTGACATTAGTTTTATGCCCCTGTAATTTTGACAATTGTGTGGATCCCCTTTATTTTTGAAGATAGGAACTAGATAGCTCTGCCTCCATTTTTGGGGGACCTCTTCATTTCCAAGTATTTTATTGTACAGATTTGTGAGGAGATGTATTCCATCATCTCCTAGTGCTTTAAGGCTTTCTATTGGAATATCGTCTGGACCCCTAGCTTTGTTGTTTTTCATATGCTTGAGGCATGTGATTATTTCTTGTTCTTTTATAGGTTGTACAAGGTTTTGACAAGGGGAGTGTTCGTCGAGATGCAATATGTGGGAATTAAAGTTGAGAAGCTCCTGAAAATATTCTTTCCATCTATTCATTATTTCTTTTTCCTTTATTATCAATTTCCCATCTTTATTTTTGATTACTTTCGGAGCTCCGTTTATATCCCTAGAGTTCTTTTCTCGCTGTTTGGCTAATCTGTATATTTTATTTTGCCCTTCTTTGGTATGTAGATCTTCGTACATGTCATCGTATGCCATAGATTTGGCCCTAGCCACCGCCTTTGTAGCTAATCTCTTGGATTTTTTGTATCTTGACTTGTCATCTGCATTTTTGGATTTGTACCATATTTTATAAAGGGCTTTTTTCTCCTGTATAGTGGTTTGTACCTCTTGATTCCACCACCATAGTTCTTTGTGTGATTTGTTGCCTCCTCTTGTCAAGCCTAGCGTCGATTTTGCAGTGTCTATTAATCTGGATGAAAGGTCTGTCCATATTTTTTCACTGACTTGTGAGCAATTTATTGTTTCAATGTTTGCATTGATTGCAAAGGCATCTGTAATTGTTTTTAATTTGCCCCATTTGATGCGTGGTTCCAGTTTTATCTTATTTTGAGTGGATTTATTTGAGATTTGTAAATCCATGATTAGTAGCTTGTGTTGCGCGGCGATATCTTCTCCTGGGATGACTTGCAGTCTATTACATCTTTTAATCTTCTGCGAGAGATTAGCATGTAATCTATCTGTGTTTTCCTAGTACCACTTTCATATGTTATTAAATGACTATCTTTTTTCCTATAGTAGGTGTTGGTTAAGGCAAGGTCGAAGGCTTGCGCAAATTTCAGTACGTGCTCTCCTTCATCATTTCTTTCTCCGTATCCAAAACCACCATGATGCCTTTTGTAGCTATCTCTTGCTTTCCCCACATGCGCATTTAAATCACCACCAATTATGACTAGGTCATCCTTAGGGATTTCCATTACGGCTTCATCAAGGATAGCTCTAAAGTCATCTTTCTCTTCTTCCTTGCAACCCGTTTGAGGAGCATATACTGATAGGATGTGTAGTATTGATTGACCAATGCAGAGTTTTATCTTCATTAGTCTATCAGAGATCCTGTTGACTTCTACAACTGAGGAGGTTAGATATTGCAAATATAATATATCAAATATAATATATCAAATATAATATATCAAATATAATATATCAAATATAATATATCAAATATAATATATCAAATATAATATATCAAATATAATATATCAAATATAATATATCAAATATAATATATCAAATATAATATATCAAATATAATATATCAAATATAATATATCAAATATAATATATCAAATATAATATATCAAATATAATATATCAAATATAATATATCAAATATAATATATCAAATATAATATATCAAATATAATATATCAAATATAATATATCAAATATAATATATCAAATATAATATATCAAATATAATATATCAAATATAATATATCAAATATAATATATCAAATATAATATATCAAATATAATATATCAAATATAATATATCAAATATAATATATCAAATATAATATATCAAATATTTTTTTTTTTTTTTTTCTCCTTAGCTTTCACCTTTTCTGGTGGTAAGCTCCTTCAACATCTCTCTCCACTTTATGTTATTCGTACAATCTCTTTTATCTATTTTAAACTTCTTTATATTGGCTCTAACTTTATGGCCCCATTGAAGTTTTGGCCTTCCTCTTTTACGTTTGCCCATCACTTCCAATCTTTCAACTTTATTTCCTATGTAGTTCATAGGCCTTCTCATTGTGTGCCCATACCACCTAAGTCTGTTTACCATTAACTTAGTCTTAATGGGCACTACCTTTAAACTATTTAGTATTCTTGTACTGCGCACCTTATCCTTTCTTGTTACCCCAGCAATCATCCTCAGCATTCTCATCTCCATAGTTTGTAGACTTCTTATCAAATATAATATATCAAATATAATATATCAAATATAATATATCAAATATAATATATTAAATATAATATATCAAATATAATATATCAAATATAATATATCAAATATAATATATCAAATATAATTTTTTATAAAGTGAGTAATTTTAATTTATTTATTTTAATAAAAGTAAAATATAATTATAAAACTATTGATAAAATTAAATCATAAATTAAATAAAAAAATTAAAGCACAATACAAACAGTGGAATATTATATGTCGTAGATTTACAGTATATCTAATTTTATCAATTATCATATAATAATTAAATAATTTTTACCAATATAGTGAATTATATATTTTAAAGAAAACTATAAAATAATGATAAGGACATCAGAATATATTTTTTAAAGACATTGTATTTTTTAATATTATTTTTTATTTAAAATAAATAGATGGCGTTAAATAATTGAATGCAAATTGTTGCTATATTTATTATCAAGAGCATTGATTAGTAAATTTGTTAAAATATTATCTGTAATATATTCTCTAACTCTGTCAAATAT